GCGGGCCCAGAACGGGGTGAAAACACTCAGGGGGTCGGAAGAGGGGCTCGGGGACGAAGCCAGGGGACGCTACATCGGTGAGTGGGGAGGGTGGGAGAAAGGAGGGTTAATGGGTGAGGTTGATAGGAGGTTTTTTAACGAAACAGTGTTAGAGAATGTCTGAGTGCATAGCCCCTGGTCACACACGCTGTGAGATATACTATCCAACGACAAGCATGCTGATAGATTGTTAGAAAGAAATGTTAATGTGTAAATGGGAGAGGGTACCCGGGGACAGACTTTCAGCACACCATAACAGAGTAAGTAACATATCACGTCGCGGGTATGCATGAGACGACTTCGACAAGGAGAAAAGAAGCAAGCTTTCGGACCAGTCTGAAGGTCATGTCGAGAAAATACATACACAGTCGGATTCCTCATCCAGCGACGGCCATAGACTAGCAGCAGGAGTGACGTGATACCGTATCATGTCTTCCCGTGCTGAAAATAACACAAACAACCCATTTATAGACACACCAAATACATGTACAGTGGAACCAAAATGTTTTTGAGGCCGTTGAAACGATAGCAAGAAAATAGAGAGTCTTTGGGGACAAGCATAGGCCTCGAAAATGCGTTAGAGGAATTCATCTGGGCATTTAATCATTGTTTTGATATACAATCCATCTATTAGTAATGCTACTATACTCCGCATAGTTGAAAAGAAATGTTTAAAGAAACAATATACCAAATCCACGTCTTAAATATACTAAAAACATCTATTGTCATGTAACAACATCCGCCATAGTACATAAATACCGACAGCTCTCAATTTACTTGTAGAAAGACATTAGAAAGATCAACATTTCTAAATTTCCCCAAAATTGCAAATGGCGGCCAGTAGCATCCACACCGTTACTGTCAAACTATGGCCGATTTCAGTACTAATGTACGCTCTTAACACTTTAAAATACAATGAATGTCTGCTTAAATACCTTGAATATGCAGCCTTGTAAACATCTTGTCAGTAGCAGAACTCGGAACGATGCTGTAGTCAACGAAATGCAGAGCGATAGGTAGTAAGAGCAATGGCGATTCTGTTAAAAAACAGAGGGACCGTTGGCAACGACAACGGTAACTACATAGAGACGAAGTCAGAACGAGGCGTCATCGAATGTTTTCGGCAACGTCAAACAGCCGGCCATGGCTGCATGTCATGGGGCCAAATACCACTGGCGACTTTAAGGTTTTAAATCAATGCCTATATGTTCAAACACCGGACATACCGTAGTTCACGAAAACGCCGTACCTGTTAGATGTTGAAAACACACTATTAACTCTCTGAAACCGTGTAAAGATTAGTGCTAATAAGGAGAAGGTTAAGGATTCGTTTTCAGTCAGAAAAGTGCAAGTCTTCCGATTCCCTTTTCGCTAATTCACTTATGTTTATCTCCGACAGAGAAGTTGTAGTCTATATGCTTGTTGTGCCAGCAATAATGGATAGATGTACTTCGGGATTAAAGACATCTGCGTGAAGCTGAAATACAGAGGACATAATTTCTTGACGGGGACCATTTCTTGTCATGGACACTGGACTTACTGACGGCTGAAATCAAACGCCAGAACAAAAGGAAGCAGATCCTGCTTTGAAGGCCGTTGTCATGGTTCCCGTCGGTGATAAAAAGAAGTGCATGTTGTGTTTGTTTGAACAACGAGTATTAACTGGCAAACTGGTGAATGTAGGTAGTTGCTGACAATGTCCATTCATCTGACGTGGGGACTGTCTGGTGGTGTGTAGGGCGTGGTGTACGTTTAAGGATGCCGGTAGCGGCACTAATTGCTGCGGAAAGACAAGCGGCGCACTTCGCCTCGGACACAGGCCTCAGACCACAGTTACCCCCCTTAAGTTTTACCATGACCCGGAAGGAAAATATGAGAATATAGTGCCTTGTTTAAATGGGCTGTTCTGTTTGTGCTAATTTTTTCAGGGTGACTTGTGATAGCTTAAATGAAAGGTAAGACATTGTACTTTATTGCAAAATTTTTTGGGTCCACAATCTACACATGGTATTGACACCAGCCTTCCTTGATTTGACCCCAAGTTCAAGGCTGTCTAGTGTGTTTCGGCTCGTAACTTCCCGTGACCATTGTTTACAGTGGATACAGCAAAATTGACATGGTCGATCCAGGCCCATATTTTGCCGGTTAAATGACAAGTGGAAGGTTGGTCAGCATGCAACAGGAGAACAGCCTACGACCGATATTAATTATGGTGCACTGGCATGTCACTGTAGATAGCAAAGAAGGAAAATAATTGTGGTCTGAGGCCTGCCTGGCTGATAAACGCGCGCTAATAAGCTGACAAGGGTAGTCTCCCTTGTGCATAGGGCCGCGAGCAAGCTGGACAAGAGACTGGTCCATCCGTTCCCTCCAAATACACAGTAAATTAAAGCTAATTAACCTGCTCGCGCGATTAGATAGCGGTGCGTCTAGTTATAAGACATAGTGTAACCTGCATTGCTCGTAATGATCGACCTGTTGTGACAGTCAGCACGGGTTGTCCGTGCATGGAGTTGGTCAGTGAACCTGATCTACCTCACTCACTCACATCGCTGATATTGTGTATTGTAGCCCATATTTGACCTCGAAGTAAAGGGCACCAATCCTGTCCAAGTATCATACAAGGCACTTATTATTATGTCTATTACCTGGATTGAAAATGAGCATTAGGCGAGGAGGAAATCCCCTCTGCCAGTCTCAGAACGTGTATAAACATCCACAGAACAAGGGGCGGTTAAACAGCTACACTGAGCAATGGGGAGACTACTCTCGATTATTCCCGTGTGCATGTAACGTATAGCAAGTGAAGCCATCGTAAAATATCCAGTCATCCGACATCAGGTTTGTAGCCATGGCTACACACGAGTACAGACTTCGTGATTTCCATCACAAAAAACGTGTAATACACTCATCTGGGTGACAGCAACACAGCGGGATAGAGCAAATGACCCTTCATTATCTTCATTTGTAATTAGTTTACTCTTATAGCAACTCCAAGATATTTCAAAAATAGGCTTGCTTCGGCTGCCTCTCCTGCTGTGTTGCTGTCACCTAGCTAAGAATTGGAATTGATCCAATCAAGGAAGGAAAACAGACTCATGTGTATACCATTCATTAATATTTATTTACATATAATCAAGAAATAGAATGGCAAGTGCTGAGGGAAGATCAATTCTCTTATTAGAAGAGAAATAAACTTAGAAATGTCAGTCAAAAGGTAAGCCAAAATATACTTGATCGAAAGGGTGTGTCCTGAAATAAGCCAAAAGGGTGTAGCCAAAAGAGACCAAAAATGGGAAATGGTATACCAGACGAGCACCAAAACACATCATCTCACACAAAACACTTACACACGAACATACATGCAAAACTCATCATCACGCATTCACAATCACACTAAATGGCCCATGAAAACATATTCTCTCTAACCCCCCTCTCTCTCTCTCTCACACACATCCTCTCACACATACACCCAATCACACATCTATAACACGCTCTGTCACATGAAAAACACTATCTCTCTCATCTGCATTCAAATGCACATGCAAATCGCATACACTCACATGCACACCCAATCACACAACATGCACTCTTGCACAAATACATCGAATCACACATACACGTTTACACCTATGCACACACGCGCGCGCGCGCGCACACATGCACACTCTGGATGAGGAATCTACGAGAATACTCTCCTAAAGAAGGCAGCCACTCTCCAGCTGTCGTCGTCCTCATCCTCATAGACCCAGTAGTCACTGTCGTCGTCACTTGGGACAGGGTAATAGTCGACATAGGTGATGGTGACTGGGGCAGGGAGCGTCTCGCCGTGGTCAGGGCGGGCCCAGAACGGGGTGAAAACACTCAGGGGCTCGGAAGAGGGGCTCGGGGACGAAGCCAGGGGACGCTACATCGGTGAGTGGGGAGGGTGGGAGAAAGGAGGGTTAATGGGTGAGGTTGATAGGAGGTTTTTAACGAAACAGTGTTAGAGAATGTCTGAGTGCATAGCCCCTGGTCACACACGCTGTGAGATATACTATCCAACGACAAGCATGCTGATAGATTGTTAGAAAGAAATGTTAATGTGTAAATGGGAGAGGGTACCCGGGGACAGACTTTCAGCACACCATAACAGAGTAAGTAACATATCACGTCGCGGGTATGCATGAGACGACTTCGACAAGGACAAAAGAAGCCCAGAACGGGGTGAAAACACTCAGGGGGTCGGGAGAGGGGCTCGGGGACGAAGCCAGGGGACGCTACATCGGTGAGTGGGGAGGGTGGGAGAAAGGAGGGTTAATGGGTGAGGTTGAAAGGAGGTTTTTAACGAAACAGTATCAGGGAATGTCTGAGTACATAGCCCCGGTCACACACGCTATGAGATATAGTATCCTATTCTCGAAAGTGTCCCAGCTAAGACAGATCCTAACTAGTTAGGACAGAAGTTAGGACATCCTAACTTTAAGATAAGACCCATTCTCGAAACGATCCTATCCCTGTCCTAACTTGGATAGCGAGCTCTTCAGTCGGTGAGATAGAAAAGCGAAGGGATTTCCCATATGACGTCACAGCTTTTTGGGAAATCCCCGAGCAGACGTGAAAATGTCAAGCTCAAGCGAGATGGCGACCGCAGAAAAGAAAGCGAGAAAAGTCAACTGGACTCGGAACGAGATGTATTGTTTAGTTGATGAGGTGGAGAACCATAAGTCTAATTTATTTAGCTCATTTTCATCACTTGTGACCAACAGCAAGAAGCAACAGATTTGGAAGTACATATCAAACAGGTGAATCTAATTATTCAATTTATTGATCGCGATCAGCTCGTAAATGTAAACAATGCAATGTCAAAGTAGGACTCATTGGCTCTGTTGGTCATTTTAGTCAAAATTATTGTTTTCACAGGCATGTACATATTGCAATTTCTCCTCTCGAAAAATAATCCAAAATAACTTTATCTGATTATATTTTTAGCAATCCCACAGAAATGGCTAATGTTATTGATCACAATATTTTGATGAGTGAATTTCAGAAAGACATTAGATATTTTATCATGAGCTCTGAGTACTGATATGATTTTATTCAATCTATTCTTTTGATAATAAATTATACTGTTTAACAGTATATTACATGCTACTAAAGTTTTCATAACTGATAAGAAAAGATTAGAATGTCTGCAGTGAAGTACACATTGAATGTTGAAATCCTATTGTATTTTTTTCTCAGAGTCAGTGCTTGCGGGTCCTCTATCCGCTCATCAGAGGATGTGAAAAAAAATGGACCACTCTAAAGTAAGATTTTGTATATAATAACACATTTCCCCTTCATGTATACACATTAACAGTGTCTTTGATACTGGGGTGCATACAAGTAATCCTTAACAGCATAAAAGCTTCAAATATATACTGAAAATAGAACCAGAATTGTACTTAAAAGTGAAAAAAAAGGGTGGCACATTATTGAATGTGGCGGCCATTTTGAAATCCAAGATGGCCGCCAATGGGGTGATGGGAAAAATTGGAAACATTGTTTTTTACATCAAGTGTAGTGAGTGGTTTAAGAAAATGTATACTGTTGCTAATCTCCAATTTCTTTGAACGAAAATACATAATACAATGGACAATATTATAAGGATGCCTTCAATACTGGGGCTTTAACTTTGACAAACAAGCTGAAACAAAGAACTAACTTCCAAAAGGATAATTTTATTTATTAAAATAACATCTTTGTGAGAACCTTAAAATCTACTAAAATTGAAAATGTACATATTTACTTTTACAATAATTCAGTTTCAGGCTGATAATTTTCTTCAAAGAAATGAATTTATCAAGGTCAGTGTTATTTGAATCTAAATGATCTTAAAGATGGAAATAATTTGATATAATGTACTTTAATCTGTAACAGGAGTGACTCAAGGAGGAAAGCCACTAGCCTAAAGAAGGCTATATTCCAGACAGGCGGAGGGCCATCACCATCTCCACTGAGTGACTTTGAGTATAAGGTATATTGCATAAATCTATATTTGTATGAGGAAACTTAAGTAATGAAATTATAAAATTATGAATTTAAAACTTGTTTATTACTGGATGTTGTTGATATGAGAATGTATAAATCAATGATATTTTCAGTATCATGGTACAGTCACTTTTTGTACTGTATACCTGCACATGTCTCAAGTTAAATTTTGCATTGTCACACCTGTAACAATGTGTCTATGTATAATCAAATTTATGCTTTTGTTTAATTACTGAAAAGTTCATTTAATTTTTACAGGTGGTGTCCCTCATTCCATCAGTACAAATCAATGGTTGCACAGGGGTTGGATAGTGAAGACTTGTCAGGTATTCATCCGTTATCATAAAACACTTATGATATACAAGTGATCACCAAGTAATGTGTGAAATTAATGTTTTGTATAAGTGACAGTATGGGGGGCCTATAGCATAAATTGCATAATGATAAGTTGTCCCCTAAAATATTTGCAAACCAGGAACTTACCTCTTTGTCTAAGTGTCATGTGTACTTTTTTAATATTCCAAATAAATTTATATATTTTGTTAAAGAATATACTTGCAAAGGTATTCTGACATATAAAACATTAATTTCCAGCCTTCTCAGGATTGGGTAGTGTGTTGTGTGATGCAGCTGTTCCCTCGACTTCAACTAGCAGCAACAATTTGAATGTCCACTCTGCCCGGACATCACCTATCCTCCTGTCCTGCACTCTACCTCGACAAGCAGCACCACCAACACCGCATGATCCACCAGCATCGTTCCAATTGTCACCAGTCATAGGTAATAATATCACATCAAAGCAAATCATGATAATTATAGATTTATCTCGTTTAGATTTGGTGTGCAAAATTAGACAATATACCTCAGACTAATATATGATGATATTTGGTGTTTTCAGTGTGATATCACTTACTACGTCACTCAATGAGAGATCAGTGATATTACAATGAAAATAAATAGAAAATATGTCCATTCTTGACAAATACAATGTTTATCAGTCTATAAATACTTAACATTTTAATAAATTCCAAGATTTAACTTCCAGATTTCCAAGTTCCAGTTCAATACTATTTTCTTATAGTAATGGAAGAATTATGTATACGTACTGCATTTATAATTTGATGCAGTCAAAAAAACAATTTAATGTTATTACATTCAAATTCTGCAATATATCCTTGAAACAATTATATTGTGAATTTTCTTTGTAGTTTCAAGACCTGGGAGTAAGAAACAAAAGACAAAAGTTCATACACATGGTAATTATTAACCTTTGTAATGTCAATGAGTAATATTTCGTAATGATTGTATGATAAGTTTTTTCAAAGATGAAATTGTCTCATATGTTAACAATGTGATATACCAGTTCAACTTTACACAAGGTACAATGCAATCAATGAGTATTGCAAGTAAGTTCCTTTATAGTAAAAAATACAAAAAGAAAAACAAAACAATGTTTGTATCTGAAATTGTTGAAATTTATTGTGGATATGACATGATTGTTGTTTGTTTTTTAGAAGATAGTGCAGCCCAGGCAGCTGAAGTGGTGCAGCTTGAGAGGGAGAAGGTGGCCATCATGCGGGAACGCTTGCAGATCGACAGAGAGCGCCTGCAAGTTGAAAAAGAAATACTCAATGAATTGCGGCTGATGAGAAAACAGGCAGATCAGAATGTAACTCCCATGTGCATCTCGCCGATCATCACATTTGACTCTTGAATGTATATACAATACTTTGCTATTAAGAAATTCTTACAATGAAGTGAACTTAATCCATATTGTCATATGTTGGGGATGTGAGTAGTTCAAGCTTGTTCGAGTTGTCCTGTTAAATTATCAAGTACCATTGGTTGTTAATAATTTGTATGAAATCATTTGTTGTTACAGAAAAATATGTACCTTAACTGCAGGCTAGAACTTTAGGAAAATATTATTAATACACTAAGAAAGAGTAATCCTAAATAAAACATATGTTACATAACAAATATCATTATCAAAATTTCATGGCTTAAATCTTAGAAAGAGAAATGTACATGATAACAATAATAGTTTATGTCATTATTGTCATGAAGGCAATGTCAAGGATGAGTGTCATGAACTTTTCATTTGTAAAAGTTTTAATTTTCTTAGAAACAGATACCTCCCTATGTTCACAACTTTGTACAAAGATGATCAACTAATGGAAAACTTATTAAACTCAAGAAATATCAATCTAATATTATTTTTGCAAATAGAAGTTCATTTATGTATATATATTTCTATTTTAACTATACTGTACAGTGTAAAACATCTACAAGTGTACTGTAATAGGTCATATGGGCTAAAATACTGAATAAAACTTCCATGTGTCTGCTGATATAATGGTTTTGTGAAAATGAATCTATTTATTGTACCACCACTTGCACAGGAGTTGGTATACATGTCCCTAAAATTGTTTTTCACTCAATCCGTCCCATTGTTTATGCCATGCATATCTCAAACATCAACTGTTATTTTACTGAATATTTTACTGAAACATTCCACAGATGGTTCAGTGGTGTCTTTTGATGACATTTATCATCTAAGTCCTATTTTCCTTATCTGCAGAATAATGTTATGATTGATTACTAGATATAATTTTACGTTGCTCCAATAATTCATGATATTGGCAATTGACAAACTTGCAATGTATGTGAGGTACAAATGTATTTTGATTATTCATATGGTGAACTTGTTATGGCATTGAATTCTCTTATCATATTCTGAAATATATCCTTGAAATTAATTAAGAAGATTGAAAAATGTATATATTTTGACATTTTAATGATACTAAATTTACTTAAATAAAATGTTTGGATGAAATTGGTTATGAAATTTACACATTCATTTGATGTACATATGAAGTTGAAGTTTGTGCCTTTGGATAACCCAGAAATTTGAAAAAATGAACCAATTTAATGATGCTTTGCAATGTTCCTATTTACAAATACAACAAGTCCTTATCAAAATACCAGTGTACATTCATAACATAAGATGTATGTACTTAGTGTATTTTCCATTGTTAAATTTATTAAAAGATTATATTTTTATCAAAAAATTGGTTATTTATTTCTCTTCATGCCGACATCTACAAGGAAAACAAATGAACTGTTGTAAAAACTTACCATATATGTTAGTTGAAAGTGCTTTCTATCAAGCGTTTCCTTGTCTGGTGTCCATCTCTAAGTGGACCGTCATATGGCTGGTCATTGCCATCCTCTGCAGGTAGGGCTGGCATGGGTGGAAGGCGATGGTTGATACACAGGTTGTGTAGCTGGCACACACCATACACGAGCTGATGACACTTGTCTGGTTTGAAAGGCAGGCAGCCCGTTGACTTGTGTAGGCATCTAATAATTAAAGAGAACCTACTACATTCATGTTAAAGCTATATCAATTTATCGATACCTCAGTGATTGAAAGTTCCCTTTATAGGTTTTGGCGCTATATCTGTAAAAAGATAGTCTCCTTACTCTATCAGACAATAAATATATGGATAATTTTTCCAGTATTTTCATACTTTATCTTAAACTTCATTTTGCAAAATGGTTTAATTCTTTGTAAGTAAATGACAGATTCATGCCTTCAGTTTTGATATAAATGAACTTTTAATCTTTGTGTTTAACACCGTGAGATTATATATTTTTAATTATTTATTTTTCTTATTCTGAAATATTATTTTCATTATGATAATCGAACTAACCGAAACCGAGACTTCATTAGGCCAAAAGCTCTTTCCACTGTGTTCCTTGTTTAAATCTCTCCTCTCCCTGTGTCTGGGGGTGGCTCAGGGGGGTGACCATCCATGGTCTGCAGGCATATCTGAAGGATTTTGTAGATATACATGCAAATGATTTATAAGAGAAATATGAAGACAATGTTAGTAAATACAACACAAATTTAAACTGGATGTATTCTTACTCTTAGTAAATGGAATTATCAAGTACATATATTTTATTTATGAAACTTCACTCATTTTAAGCTATGTTATTCCAAAATGATAATCAAATTTTTTTTCGTTTGAATAAAATATTTATTAATACAGGTACTTACATTTGCAGACAGTGCTCATTATTATCATCCCTTAAAATAAAAGTTATCACAGAGTTTTGGGATGACAATTTTAACAATAAAAGAACTACAGAGGAAAGAGGGAAGTGGGCCATAAATCGGGACCTAATATTCTAATATGGACATTTTTCCCAGTTATTATTAATCTAATTATAAGAAATAAAGTAGATATCAATATTTATACCATGCATTTATCAATTTATACAGTCATATAACAGTTGAAAACATGCGAAACAGGGACATAAAGCAGAACTAATTAATGCAGCATTACATTTGTAACTTTATAGCATAATCTTACATGCATTACATTTATAATAGGCACAGAAGACAAAATGACGGCCTATTTGCCAAAATGAACATCATGGAAAGAAATACATATATTACAATAGTGGTATTATTATAATAGTTAACAATGAAGGCATATTGCAAGAGATAATCCGTTAGAATTGTCATATATATCTAAATATGTTAAACAGTGATGCTATGTACAAACTTTACATATTATAAAATGTACAATTTATATAATACTGCTGTATATGTACAAAGTTGTTATTAATATTAACAACAATTATAGACAATTCAATAATATGTATTATTATTACAACATTATATGTATGCAACTATATACAATACATGTAATAAGCAAGCTGGATATGATAAAATAAATTATAATTTACAGTTTAGCACTTAAAGAAAAACATAACTGGTTATTTGCATTGATGAAACAGAAAAAGGAGAAGAAAGCCAATATTGGGAAAAGAAGACTTTGATAGTCTAAAGAAATCGACCCGAATACGTGTTTGAAGAAGAGACATAAAACGCAAGACAATATCGTTTCCATTTAACTGTTTGCGTTCAAATTTGTTTAAATTTCTAATAGTCCAAATAGAATATTTCACCAAGGATAATAAATATACACAAACAGAATATTTTTGATGATTTGGATTTTTTGGAATAACCCCAAATTTAATAATTTCGTGACATTTTTAATTAATCCTGATGATAAGTACCGCAACCATGGAAAAACGATATTCCACAGGACAATAGAACAGGGACAGTGAATAAAAAGATGGTCTGAAGTTTCAACTGCAGACCGACAAAGAACACAGTCAGGAGAAACAGACATACCTCTAGTGTAGAGCCTATAGCCTAAAGGTAAAGAATCATAGATGAGACGGTAATTAACAGATTTTAGTAAAGGATCCACAAATGAAAGATGTAAATTTTTCCAAACAAGTCTAAAGTTGATTTGTGGATATAAACGTTCCACTCTGTTTTCAGTTACTTTTTGAAGCAAACACTCATAAAATGCTTTAGAAGTATAGTCCAAAATGGCATCTTTAGGAGTCAAAACGGTTTTTTCAAATAATTTAACGGCCTGAATACATTGTTTATAATATAATGGCATCGTCTCAGAGTGAGGGATACGGAGAGATAGAAAAGAAGGACAGTACTGACGTAAAGATAACCCTATCCAATATTTTGCAAAAACGTCCATTTTGCTGAACTACCTTTCAATAGGTTTTGGACATGTTTTGAAGTTGAAATGATTGCAATTTTGATTTGATGTGAATAACACCAAGCCCCCTTCCAAAATATGTTGATACAAAACGGAGCGCCTAATGGGTTCAGCTTTGGACTGCCAAATAAATCGAAATGTCTCCCTCTGAAAGAGATCTACATAATGATTTGAAACTGGTGTTACTGCTCCACGGTACCACAGTTTGGATAACCCCAAAACATTGCACAGTACAGTTTTACCAAATATAGATAAGGAGCGTCCTTTACTGAAATTTAAACCTGTACGAAATTTTGTAAGTAAAGAATGAAATTGATCATCTTCACTGACCTCATTGCCTGTAATAATTCCTACAATTTTTGTCTGGTCAATCCATGAAATGCCAAAAGGATGGTCGGACCTGTTTTTCCATTTCCCAATAAAAATTCCTTTAGTTTTGGACTTATTCAATTTTGACCCAGATGCTTTCCCATAAATACTGTAAAGTTCTAAAAGTTTCTGAATTGAAGCATCTGAAGTACAAAACCCAAGACCATCATCAGCATATGCAGATATTTTTGCTGAATCATTAGTACCTGGAAGGTGTACACCTTTAATAATTTGATTTTTACGAATGTTTTGTAAAAGAGGTTCCAGCGATAAAACATACAAGGCTGGCGACAAACCACATCCTTGCCTGACTGACCTCGTTACCGGAATTGGCCGAGAAATGTGCTGATTTACAATTACACAGCTGGAAATGTCAGTATATAATATTTTGACCCACTTTTTGAAATTTGGACCAAAGCCAAAAGCGTCCAGTACTTTAAATAAATACTCGTGGGAGACCCTATCAAATGCCTTTTCTTGATCTAAACTGATTAAAGCACATGGAATATTTTTCTGTTCCACATAATCATGCACATTGCGTATTAAATGACAATTATCCTGAATAGACCGACCTGGTATAGCGCAAGACTGATCAAGATGAACTATATCACCAATAACTTGTCCCAAACGTGTGCATAACGTTTTTGATATCAATTTTGCATCCACATTTAATAATGAAATCGGACGCCAATTTTTAACATTTTCTGAATTGTTAACATCCTTACACAGCAGAGTAATATAGGAAGTTTTAGAAGATTCGGGTAAAGAACCCTCAGAAAAACACAATTGGACAATACGTAGTAAGACATCACCAAGTAAGTCAAAATTAAACAAATAGAACTCCTTGGTAAGGCCATCTGGACCTGGAGATTTATCATTCTCCATATCCTTAAGGGTTTTATAATTTCATCTTTTGTTATTTCACCTTCTAGTAGATCCGAATTAGCCGAATTGAGTTGAGGAAGACCAGTAAGAAATTCATTACAAATTTTATCATCAATGGGTTCTTCAGCCAAAGTTCAGAATAGTAATCAACAAAACACCCATGATATCTTGAGAGGATTTTACTGAAACGCCAGAAGGGTCTAATATTGAAGAAATCGATTTATTTTTACCTCTCTTGGCTTCCTTGCGCAAAAGTAAACTAGAAGGCTTTTCACTATTTTCAATGTTTTTAGCTTTTGATCGAATAATATGTCCATTAAATTCCAATATTTCCAAATCATTGAGCTGTTTTTTGTTTCACGGATTTGATCAATATAAAGTCCAGGATGACAAGATTCTGCGTGACATAGATTACGATACTTTGCTTCCAAATTTTTACGGAGGGACAGACGGTCAGATTTTCTTGTAATTTGTATCAAATTTAGAAATTTTTGAATTTTGATTTTAAAATTGTCCCACCATATGAAATCAATTTTATCCAAAGTAGGTATATGTGTCTTTACAAAATCCACCAAACAAAATTTTAAAAAGATTCATCGAAAATATTATTATTACATTTCCAATAAGAGTTACCAAAATCTATGCCTTCAATATCTTTAATTCTTACCGTCACATATTCATGGTCTGAGAATGAGCATGGGGAGATTCTCGTAGATTCGACAGCGGACAGGAGGGAAGATGTTACATAGAATCTATCAAGTCGGGAACCAACACCAGTAGAATTTCGCCAAGATACCGCCACCAAGTCTGGAAAAGAAGAACGAAATGTGTCAGATATAGAAAAATCAGAGACCCATTTTTTAATAATACTACTTCCTGCTTGATCAGTTTTTTTATTTCCACCAATTTTATCTAATTTAACATTAAGGACACAGTTAAAATCTCCCCCTATTACTAAAATTCTATTGGTAACTAAATATTTACTTAATGAATTGTAAAACGCCACTCTATCAGCTGGAATATTTGGTGCATAAACGTTGAAAAAACGTATCTTCTTCCCTTGTATTGTTAAATCCAATATGATATATCGACCATCAACGTCTAAACGAAACTGATCAACAGCATAATTAACACAATTATTTACTATTATTCCCACCCCTCTGCTAAAATTAGATCCAAAAGCCCAGAATCCCTTCCCATTAAATTTTGATTCATAAAACTTTGCTAATTTTAAATTATATACATGGGTCTCTTGTAGAAATAGTACATCAATGCTGGAATTAAATTTCTGTGATAAAATATTAATTTTTGACGAATCATCCAGCAAACCATTACAGTTGATTTTTGTTACATTATACATTTTATATGATATGCATGAAACAATTGTACATAACAGAAATAATGTAATATACCTCCTCTTTTGAGGATATGTTTTCTGAGTCTGTGTTACATCCATTCTTCTGTCTCATAGTCGATGGGCATTGCTTAGGTTATTATCAAGAAGACAGGATCACTCTCAACTCTGACCCTCCTGTGTCACACACCACATCCGAGTAAGATTTAACAGTGGACCTACTGTCTCTGGCCTGCCTTGGAGTACATGGACTGTTACTCAACTCTCGCCTCGTCTTTCCCCTACCTTTTCCCCTACTTTTGGACCTACTCTTTCTCTTAGCTGTCTCTGTAGGCACAGTAAAAGCATCGTCACTCGTATCCATAAGGTTATGAATTTCTTTAAGGCACTGCGAATCAGAATCAGAAAGACTTGCAGCTACTGCTGCAATGACATCCACTGTAGAAGAGGTACTGGGCTTTGATTCAGCCACGTTCACATTCTCACCTTCTTTCTCCTTCTCCTTTCCTCATCTACCTTCTCCATTTCCTCATCTACCTGCTTGCACATGTCATCATTACATACTGGTTCATTTTCCTTGTGCCAAATATTCTCTGAGTCATCACCTTCACCTACACCTTCTCCACCATTCTCACTCACCTCCTCTGACACATTGTCTCCTTCAGACCTCCTCTTTTTCTCCTCTCTGATACTCCGCTGCATTACACGGTTAAAGAACTCGTATGGCTGTGCCTGACAATTGTTCCTCATGTGACCTTTAAAGCCACATCGAAGACACATGGGAGATCTTCCCAAAATGGCAAGCAACATGGTCATTCCATCTCCTAATCTCACTATGTGAGGAACATCATCAATCACACCTTGATTCAGGACCATGCGAACAGTTCTCACTCCAGTCCTAACCGTTGCCTTTCCAGAAAGTGTCACAGTGTCTCTGGTGATATCCAATATCTCACCATATCCTTTCAAAAAGTTTCTAATGAAGGATTCTTTTACATCATCATGCAACCAGTGGATTTTTATTTCATGAATCTTTTTTTCATACGAGGTAATAAGGATGTCTATTCCCTTGTAATAGATTCTCCCGGCCTCAATCAAAAGTTTTGCCCTCCTTTTGTCCTTAAAGGTAACATAAAATGTTCCCCCTTGATTGGTATTCCAGATGGAAATAACATCCTTTCCAGAAATATTTTGAAATGTAGCAACAATAGCATCAAACAACAGTTCTCTCGTGAATGGTCTCACCTTGCACTCCGCCTTGATGGTGCATGCATAACTTGACTCGTCTCTGTACATCCGATGAACGGGTGTCAAAACTGGCGCCGCAGCCAAGGCCATTGTGATGAAAGAGCAAGTGGGGGTGACACTATCTAAAGGTCCACTGAGTACTAAAGAGTACTCAGTGCCCGCCCATAGACCTGGATAAGAGAAGTGTCCGTAAAATGTCAAAGATCACACAGCGGAAATAACACAATATTCACCTAGTGATCCTTCTGTAATCCACTAGCCGATGTAGGAAGACGTCTCTCGTATTGAATTGCATCAAAGATTGTTTTCTATGGTGAACTTGTTATTTGTATTAGCATTGGATGAAATTGGTTATGAAATTTACATCCATTTGATGTACATATGAAGTTGAAGTTTGTGCCTTTGGATAACCCAGAAATTTGAAAAAATGAACCAATTTAATGATGCTTTGTAATGTTCCTATTTCGATACAAATACAACAAGTCCTTATCAAAATACCAGTGTACATTCATAACATAAGATCTTGTATGTGTACTTTAGTGTATTTTCCATTGTTAAATTTATTAAAAAGATTATATTTTTATCAAAAAAATTGGTTATTTATTTCTCTTCATGCCGACATCTACAAGGGAAAACAATCGAACTGTTGTAAAACTTTCACCATATATGTTAGTTTGCGAAAGTGCTTTCTCTATCAAGCGTTTCCTTGTTCAGGTGTCAATCTCTAAGTGACCGTCATTATGGGTGAAGTCCATTGCCATCCCTCTGCAGGTAGGAGCTGGCACATGGGTGGGAAGGCCTTGATGGTTGATACACAGGTTGTGTATTGGCACACACCAT